TTCCTGTTCCCTCCTCGTCCTCTAGTGCTATTGAATTCGCCTTTTTAGAACAATCCCATTTTTACGATTTTAGGGTATTCTCCTTTAACGTGGCCTCTCTTAGCTTAGTTCTCCTGCACTCGTTATAATCCTACCATACCTTCTTCCGTATTATACTTTACAACATGCAGGGTACTCGCCATCCAGTCTCCCTTCTGCCTTCATTCTGCACCTTAGGGCCAGCAGCAGCCTAGTTACAGGATTGGTGATTAGTTTTTGAGACGAAATTGCTGCCCTGCTATACGATCAAATGGAAATTTTGACGGTATCAATGAGGGTTGATGATCTGCATCGATGCCTCTGCTGATGTCTGTTACGAGGTTCAGGATATGTCTGTCTTGTCTGCGAATAATAGGTTGTCTGTGAACAATTCAAACTTGATGTTCTTTAGCGATATCGATTGCGACTGAGGAGCAAAGTAATCTGCGGTCTGACTCCTGCAATTTACTTCTTATCACGGATTATGCCTTATGTCTTTGATTGTTGCTCACAATGGTGTCAACAACGTACGATGAAATTGCCGAGATTCGATCTGTGAAACCAAGCATTCTTCTAGATCAGGTGTAGCGTGGGACTCGACGTCATGAACTTCAAGCCTGAACTTGAAGATCAATGATACAGAAACGTTTCTCTGATCGTGCACTGTTGGTCAACAATTATACCGAAATTTGTAGAAGCTGGTCATGGGCATTTCTGACTGCTGAACGGTGGCAGAAGATAGATGAGACGCAACTGGTGGTCGACAGCGTTTATGAGCTGTCAGCTGTTCGCTCTGTTCTATCAAAGAATCACTTGAGTCAGGTGCATGATTCTGTCCATCATGTTATACATCAATGAGTGGGTAGCTGTCTAAGAGTGAGGTACGATGTCATTAGGAGGCCAGTAAATTTCTTTTTACAATTCCATTGTGAGGACCGCGCAATTTTTGATCAGGTGTTTGAATTTATGTTTTTGACAGATGGTCATTTGTATCAATAATTTGACTTTGCCAATGATCCTACCTATCAAGGGAATTTTTTTGCAAGTACAATAAGAAACCATTGCCAAACTATGAATGTCTATAATTGTCAATTTATGATTCCCTGGTGGTGACTGTGTCAAGTCGTGGCTGTCATTTGATCACGAATCGGAATCAATATAACTGCACATGATCATCTGTATCAATTACATGATTTAAACCCTGACGTTGCACATCGCTCAAAAAGCTGTTTGTGAGCAGAATATGAAACTTTCGACATAAGTATCGATTTCAAAATTGGCGTCTTCATCTGACGATTTCACTACCATTATTATTTACTTGCTCGTTAAATCACCATGAGTCAAAATTAACATAACAATCACGACTTTAAGTTTATGAAACTTTCAGAAGTCTGTCTGTTTTTCGTTTGAGACAAATTTCGTCACGTTGCATATCAACAAAACCTCCCTCTGAGCGTAATGCGTAAGTTTTGTAACAACACTGTATTTGTATATGGCTTTAACGTGAAATTTTCTAAAGGCTATTTTCTAAAGCTTCTACTACGCATCGAATCATTCATTGTATTGCACCAAACTGTTACTAAAAACAGATAACAGCATTATCAATCTGTTGCATAGAATTTTAATCTTTGCATATTAGCTGAAATAGAACAACGATGTATTAAAAGAAAGCAAAATTAAATTTTTTCATCATAAAAACAAATTTTATCCAAAAAATTTATTTTGCTGAAATATCACGTTAGTGTGCCATTTCATAGCAATGCGCTGACTTCTCGAAAATAAGTAATAATGAACCTATTATGATTGACATAAACATCAGAGCTTATTATTTCGTGTGTTTCGCAATAGTTAATTGATTTGACCAGAGGGTGTTGACCGCCAGCAAGTTGTTCGTAGTATATTTTGCGGCCATTCTACACCTCCCGGAGCCGATCAATCAATTTCTGTGCTGATGGTGTAACATTCTCAACTCGGTCACAATGGGCTGTTTCCGCATAGTTATTCGTACGGTGTTTGCTGTTGATTACCCTACGGTAAATCGATCATATTTCTGGTTGAGACACCGCCAGATGATTTGTACTACTTCTGGTTCTGAGCAAAAAAAATGCCATCTGTATAACTTCGCTCACTCAGCTCCCATTTGGCTTCTGCAGTTGCTTGACAGAAACAAACAACGCAGGCGACATTTCAAATTCACGACGTTTTTAGCTAGACCTGAATCTTCCCGGTGGGACACACTGTGTAGTGTCCCTGAAATATGACATGAGCATCGTCACAAGTCGAGGATTCACACCGGAATCCGTCGGAATCTGACGTTGGGGCAGGTTACGTTATGGAATCGTTCTATAAGCTGAAAGCCATAAACATCGATTGTGCTATAGCACAGTGTTTTTCTAGATTTTTCTAAATTGATGGCAACGAAATTGATTACGATTGCCAGATCCTTAATTTGCCTCAACCTTGAACAATCCCAAGCTGCAAGGGGCCAGCGTACCCAGGGGGCTTCCAATATCCTAGTTATTAAGACATATCCTGGGACAGAGTATTTCCAGACACCTGAGTTCTGCCGACAAAATTGCTATCGACCTCCATTGTTATGCAATTGCAAATGAACTATTTTTGGAGCAGGAGCCATTCGGAATCTTTGCCATGCTTTGGGAGCAATGCCTTTGTTTAAGCAACAGGAAAATATTTCTCCTGACTGATTTTATGGGCCCCATGCTTTGTTATTCTTGGCTGTAAACAATTTGGCCCAGTTGTTGACGAGGCTTTGATGCCCCTCAAACAACTCCATGCTTCATCTCAAATAAGCGGAATCATTTTTGCGCCCCATTAACGTGAAAGATAATTCCTTCGATAAATAATACTGTTTCATGACGTCAGAAGGAAGCATTCATTACGTCCATGGCTGACGTCAGACTTACTTTCAAAAATTGTACATTTGTTTAATCGCTATCCAGGCAGCGCGAGGTTTGACACTGTCAGGAAAAGCGAGTTGGAGAGTTATTTCTGAAGGAATGCATTTTTTCTGAAATCCCTTTAGGCAAATATATTTCACTTTAACTGAGGTAGTCATTTTCATCATTGTAATCCTTTTCTTTCTGTAGTAGAGTCTGAAGAGAACCCAGCAATTGGGCTCTCGATCCACTGTAATGGGCAACAGAGATTAAAGACGAAAGACAGATATGAAAAATGTTGTCGAAATGACGATAAATATCCCAGTATTACTTCCCAGTCTGTGGTACCTAGAAGTGATGCCAACTGGTCTATTATCCAGCGTAACAACAGGCGTTTATGTTGTTGAACAAAATTCGGCAAACAGTACTTAAAGCAACTGCGTGAAATTACTCAAATCGAGCAGTGCACAGATGATTCGAGAGGAATAATGTATTTTTACACCGTAGTTGGAGCAATTCACCAAGGAGCAGTCTAGCTTGATCCCCAAAAGCGTTCGGAAGGTGGCTAAATTGGTAGAACCAAGACGGACCAACGAAAGCATATCTTTCCGGTTGGGGGGGCATCGGAATGGCATCTCCTATTGTGATAAAAAGGTTCTGACATATCACTGAACCAAGTCTTGGCATCAAGTGTTCCAAGAACCGTTTGATAGAATCACATTCGCATTCGTGTAATATGTAGATGTAGCCATGAACGACACTAGCAGAAGCAGGAAGCTACTTTGGTATGTAGCAAGGCAATGGAGATTCTCCTCAGCAAAGGACAGCCAAACTGAGCGATATTTGTACCACAGATTGTTAACTAAAGACACAGTTCCGCCACCACTTTTTTTCCGAGGAAGTGGGCGCTCCATCCGATAGTAGAAAAGGTTTTTCAGAACCACGATTTATCCACGGTTTCCGCTTTCAATAATCATTCCGGAATTAGCACGGTACACGTATTACTGAGGCTAAGTTCTTAAATTAATCTATGTTGGGTAGAATCATTCATGGTCATTTCCCAGCGACGACAGATGAAAACCACAAAACGGGAACTGCTATTCATTTTGCAGTAATTTGCCAACTGCATCTACAGCTTTGCTTTGTCTTGAGGTGTCGCAAAGTTTCTTAAGTGGTAGTCGTTTTGGTCACTTGCACGAGTCCGGTTTGAGGATTCAGTTAATTTGTTAAATATATGTGAATGTTATATACATTGAAAATTTAGGGATCCAGGCCGCTAGGGTCTAAAATTAAATGATCTTCGGCCACCACGCTGTTGAGCCAAAAAAGCTGATCAAAATCGCCCGCTCATAATGGAACCAACGCTAACAGTCTTCACCTGCTCCGTGGTCGTTTTGGCAATATTTGTTTCTGCTTACTACATTACGGTGCAGGGCGAGAAAATACAGAACAGTCTGTCCAGTGAGATTTTCATTGTTGTTGAAAGCAAGCTCTTCGATATCGAGGCAGTAGTTCAATCTTAATGACGTCATCATAGGATCATATTCCTCCTCGTAATGGACCACGGAACTGTAAGGGTGTACACGATGATTTGGAGACGAACCCGGATCGACTATGCCAACGGGCCAGCAAAGGTGACCTGCGAAGGACGTACGGAACAAACTTCGACCGAGGTATCCAGGAAACTTTCCTACCGGATGCCGTTGACTGCAGCTAGGTTTTTCATGAGTCACTTT